CCTATGACTCCTCCTTTCACAGAGGAGGAAACAGATCCCCAAAGTCTGTAGCTTGTGGCAAAACCAGGTCTTGTAAACACTAGTACAATATATTTTCTTTCCAAAGATGCTACTTCCCTTACTCCAGCTACATTGTGACAATAATAAAGATGACAAATACTATAAGAGTTTTCCTTATGTGCCAAGTACTGGCTTAAAAACTTCACATGAACAGGTGCTTTAGTCCTAAAGTCAGAACTATTATTATCTTTATTTAACATAGGAAGAAACAGAAGCAAACTGAGATTAGTAACTCACCTGACCTTACACTGATAGAAGGTAGTGAAGCCATAATTTGAACCCATGTAGTCTGAGCCCACAGCCTTCAATCACTCCATCCCACTGCAATGCCATTACACATATTGTAGAAATAAGAGTTCTAAATCAGAAAGCCTGAAAGAAGTTCTTGCTATAGCGCTTAATGAACAGCATAACATAAACCTAATTAAGAACTGAACATTTTACACACATGAAATTTAGAGTCCCTATTTCTTTTTGTTCCTTCAATCCATGCACTTACATTTCTCTCTCGCCCTCTGCTCTTTCTGCCCACCCCTCCCTTCCCCCCAAGTTTAGAGAGCTGCCTTACAAGCTCTGATTCAGTATCAATGATGCCATTATTCATGGAGCCTGGCAAGTAGGTTGGTTTTAAAACACACATGCTTCCCCTTCTCCATTTCCTCTATTTCCCATCAGAGAGTAAATGCTTATCTCTTAATGTTTCCATTCACAATTAAGAAGGAATTGCTATTTTTAAAATGAAGATAAAGGCAAATTACCCATCAACTAAAATAGTAGTAACATATTTACTAAGCAGACTACAAAGAATGCAAACAAACCTGAGAGGATAGCAAGCAAGAATTTACTTTCTCCTAAGGCAGTCACAGTATCTGAAGAATACGAAATTTTCACCCACAGTTTTGTAAGTAGACATTGCTCTATCAGCCTAGAGAATCCTATTTCAGGGCTAAATGGAACATAGTATTTGATGTGATTATATAATACAAACTAAAATTTAGTAAATTTTAGGCTATCAGTATATTTAAAAACCAGTTTTACTTTTAAAAATATTTCTGAACATATTATTTATAGTGAAGAGGTACAGAAATCTTAAGTTTCATACGATCTGTACTTAATAAAGTTATTTTTAATTTAAAAAATAGTTTGTCGCGCCCTAGTCAGTTTGTCTCAGTAGGTAGAGCATCAGCCTGCAGACTGAAAGGTTCCAGATTTGATTCCATATTCGACTCCAGTCAAAGGCACATGCCGGGGCTGTGGGCTCGGCGCGCAGGAGGCCGCTGATCAATGATTCTCTCTCATCGTTGATATTTCTATCTTTCTTTCCCTCTCCCTTCCTCTCTGAAATCAATAAAAATATATTAAAAAATAGTTTGTCCGATATTCAAGGACATGACTGAAGGCTAGAATGGCCTCTCTGGGCAATAATGGATGTGATTCTAGGAGATATGGAAAAGAACAACCTTCCTTAGGCATTATTTTAATCACATCTCTCCAAAGATTCCCTCCCCGCCCCGGCCTTTTTTTTTTTTTTTTTTTTTTTTTTTTTTTTTTTTTTTACCATATCAGTCTAAATTTCTTAGTCTAGCTTTTAAAATTTCCTATTATTTGGCTTCACTCAATATGTACAAATGGATCTCCCACTGCTTCCCCCAAGATGCACCTTCTACTCAGATGAGTCTATACACCATGCTCTCCCCCACTTCTGCACCTTCACTTATGGATAAGACAAATGATGTACTGTTTATGGACACTCTCCTTGAATCAGCATGTTAACTTACCTATTTAACCCTTGTAATAGCATATGAGATAGGAACTACCATTTCCATGTTTCCCATTTTACAAAAAAGAAACTGTATCTCAGAGAGTTTAAATTGTCAAAGAGAACCAAAGCAGGCATCCTGAGTCTTAAACCCAGGTGTGGCTCTGAGTCCATGTGCTGTCCTTGGTATCATGCTGCTTCTGCCCACCTGGATGCCCTCTATTCTACCCTGTGGCTAAACCTATGCTACGCGTCTGTGCCCACCTCCTCTAGGATGCCTTCCCCAGCAACTGTACTCTTACCAGATTTTGCTCCTCCTTTAAATTTTACAGTTAGAACTTGTAAAATTTAGAGTTTAAATATTATATCAAAAATGTTTACTGTTGTTTGTTATGCATTCTTTTGCTTCCCAACTTAGTTTTTAATTTCTCAAAGGCTTCCTAGGCTGCACACACAGTAGGGGATTCATGAATACTTGAGGAACTATTCTGGCTTCCTGGGTTATATTAGAGGAACAAACAATAACACTTGGCTGGAGTACAGAAAGAGTGGGAGGGAGTCAGGGAGCAGAGGGAGGGTAGACTGGAGCTATCTAATAAAGGACCTTAAATGCCATCTAAGAAATACAGTTTAAATCTACAAGTGATGAGCAGTCCTTGAAAGTATTTGAGAACTGAATGAGAAGAATTCTAATTTGGAAAGATGTATCTAGCTGTATCTTGAATCACATCAATGCAACAGGATGAGACTGGGCTTTGTATAGCCATAGCATTTGTCCTCATTTGTTTCGGTTATAGTAGGAAATGTTTTGCTTTTGTTGGTTATTTATATCCAAAAGCACACACCCAGCACAAAAATACACACAGTGCTAACAGAAAAAGGCAGACTGCTCCAGACTCTGTAGAATGTATTTATTTATTTATTTATTTATTTATTTATTTATTTCATTATTTTATTTTTAAATTTAATTTACTAAGGTGACATTGGTTAATAACATTATATAGGTTGTAGGGACACAGACTACATGGAATTATTATCTAAAGTCCCAAAGGACCAATAAAAAGACACATTAATTATAACCAACATTAAGGACTATTCATTCACATTAATAAAATACACAGCTAATGTTGCAAAACTGGTGCTTGAAAAGAAAGACCAATTTACCCAATGTAAATAGCAGAAGGAATTTCCCTAGATCAAGATTGTTAACTTTTGAAAAATATACACATATCAAATAATTTCTCAACAAGTTTGCTTTAGATGGCTGTCAATAAAATTCCTTCAAGCAAGCAACTTCCTTTTACTCTCTAAAGCCTACATACTCTCAATCCTTTCCTTGCTTTTTCTTTTTTATAAGTAAATGGAAAAGTCAGTCAGCTGATCCTATATAATAAAGAGGTAATATGCAAACGGTTGTTTATACTGTGAAGCTTAACAACCAAACAGCAGGAGGGCTACCAGAGGAGAGCTACAGGAGGGCGGGGCAGTGGGTGGAGAGCTACAGGAGGGCGGAGAGATTTGAGTGGCAATGGGTCCAGTGGCCCCTGAGGCAAGTGGCAGGGAGCTACTAGTGCATGGATTCATGCACTGGGCTACTACCCTGTTTCCCCGAAAATAAGACAGTGTCTTATATTAATGTTTGCTCTCAAAGATGTGCTAGGTCTTATTTTCAGGGGATGTCTTATTTTTCCATGAAGAAGTATATGGTACACATTTATTGTTAAATGAAAATAAAGGAAATTTATTACCTGTATACGGTATGGTAGTACGGTAGTTGTCAACACAAACCAGACAAACTGTGAATCCTACAGTATCAAGAATTTACTCATTTATTCAATGACAATCATGTCATCATCTTCTGGAACATCATCATAACAATCCAATTCCTGAATTTCCTGGTGAATTTCTTGTGACTCCATTTCTTTCAGAATCAGTGGACCAAATCTCTCATGTTTAGCCTGGGGGGGAAGGGGAGGGCTTATTTTTTGGGAGGATGCCTTATATTTCACTCAAAAGGAAACCTGTAAGTCGGTCTTATTTTCGGAGGATGTCTTATTTTCGGGGAAACACGGTAGTAATCTTATAAATAGAAATGGAGAAAATACTCATTATGACCATACTAGAGGCCTGGTGCATGAAATTCTTGAACTTGGGTAGGGGGGAGTGTCCCTCAGCCCAGCCTGCACCCTCTCACAGTCCAGGAACCCTCGCTCCTTACCACCGCCTGCTCGCTGTTCCATACTGCTTGGCTCACTGCTCCTTAGTGCTACTGTGGAGGCAGAAAAGGCTCCCACCACTGCAGCTGCGCTCACCAGCTGTGAGCTTGGCTTCTGACTGAGCGGGGCTCCCCCTGTGGGATCGCACTGACCACCAGGGGCAGCTCCTGCATTGAGCGTCTGCCCCCTGGTGGTCAGTGAGCATCATAGCGACCGGCTGTTCTGGTTGTTCCGCCGTAATGGCCGCTTAGGCTTTTATTATATAGATGTCTAGGAAAGGCGGACCCAATTGGAAGGGAAGGAATTAGACGCTTCACTAAATCAAATGTTTCACTCTTAGGCTGAAGCAATTGTAATGAACTTCTAGGAAAGGCTAAGATTCACCTATGATCACAAATAATAAAATTAGCAGTCATTTATGTCTGACAGAAAAGGGATAAAATGCCTCATGATAAACCACTAGGCAAAATGTGGAGCTAGGAGGCAATATTTCCCTGAGGAAGGTATGTTTTGCTAATACCACCACCAGCTGCTTCGGAACACTCAGAAAGTCCTAGAAATCAATGGCACCTGTGCTTTGCTTAACAGGAGCTGTGCACTGGCTGGAAGTTAACAATGGGGAAAGGCATGGCACATTAAACCTCTTCTTATGGGACAATCACAACAGCTACCATTTATGACTTGAGATGGTTCCCCCATTATCTCTAACCCTTGGAGCACCCCTGAAAATACTAATATTCCCTTTACAGGCTGAAAACAACAACATCTGTCCATGAATTCAGCGAGTAGTGGTTGAGTCAAATCTTGAAATCAAATCTATTGACTGACTTCCAAGCCCATGCACTAGATTGGAAAGAATGACTGCAAATTTTATGGGGAAAACAGAACTCCAGAATAATTAAAGAAAACAGGTGTAATGGAAAAAAGAGGCCCAACCATCAGCTGCAGAAAGACAGCCAACTTACCAGCATACTTTGCGGTGTTAGATTCATCCATGGACCAAAAGCAATAATCAAAGGCAAATACCTGAGTAAAAGAACAAAATGTTAAACTTAAAAATTAATTAACTCTATGAATAAATCAGACTGCAAAAAAAAAAAAAAAAAAAAAGCCTCACTGATGAAGATGAGAATGCCTGCTACTGTCACCACAGGTTTGATGTTTTGTTAACCCTGAAGATTCTTTTATTAGACTAAACTGATGGTTATCTTCTTGTATTAGACTAAGTTATATATGAAAATTGCTATTTATCCATAATTCAAACAAGCATACATCTTAACCAACATTTAAAAAAATGATACATTCAGTGAGAAAAAAAACAATGACTTCTCTCCAAGTCAACAGCACCTGCTGTAACCCTCCGGCTGGATCTCCCAGAGCGTCTCAAGAAACACTAAAATGATCAACTTTCACTAAAAGCAATTCCTCTAACTTTCCATGACGCTACTATTTCCAGCATAGCCAAGGCTCAAAACTCTCCACACTGCCATCTTGGACACCATTCCCTTTTGTTTCAGCATGCAATCTTGGACCCAGTGCTAAGAAATCAGTAATTCATTCTTGCATGCATTCATTTTCTTATAGTTACAGAGTGCCTACAGTGTTATCAGGACTACTGATGCTGCTTTCCCAAGTCCCTCACCTACTCACAGTTTTCTATGCATATAACCATCACCCATTTTCCCGCCATCATTATTAAATGCTTAGGGCAACATTCCCTAAAATGTGGCTCAAAGAACAGAAGTTTCTTGAGAAAGTTCATAAAAAAGATTAAATCATGTTAGAAATTGTGTACATTTTGCCCTAATTTGAGATTCTCAATATTAAAGGCTCTGAAAAGCCCTACAGCAAATACATCCATTTAATTGTTTAACTTTTTATTTCTCCAATTAATTTTGGTGAGGAGACCCTTTCTTGTGTAACACCTGTTAACCTGCCTTGAAACTAGTATTTCTCGATATATTATACCTACCTTAGCTAACTCTGGCCTAGATACCTCAGCAGCCACTTTCTCTTGGGCTCCCTTTTATAGCCTTTTCACCATGTAGTCCAAATAGCAAATTATAAAACTTCCACGGACAGGGACCCTTTAGTGCTTATTATTTCCAAGGGATCTCAAGCTCTGAGCAAACAGAACTCAGCCTTTGACCTGGCATATAAGACTGGTCACAATGAGGCCTTTCCAGCCCAAATCCCCCAACTTCTTCATGCTTCATGTCTGAATCCCCTAATATTCAGACAAATGTTCTTTGCTTGTCGAATACCAGCATAAGGCTGAACTGAATTATGTCTAAGATTTCATTCTCCTTACTTTAAATGACCAATATAGGCTATTTTCCAATTTTTGTGTATTTATTGCTATAAACCTTGGAGCTACAATCCTATCCCAGTTGGTATTCTCTTCATTTCCATCCTTCAAAAAGCTTCATACTCCTTACAGCCCAATTCAATATATTTTTCTTCCAGGAAGCATTCCTTGGTTAGTTCAAAGGAATTAGCTGTCTCTTCTCTGAACTCTCACAACACTGTTTAATCCTTTTTGTGACACCTACCCCAATTATCCTATTTTTCACTTATCGTGTATATTATCTCTGCATATGTTTCAAAGCCACTGGTAGACTAAGTCCCTTGAAAGCATGAACCAGACCTGATTTCTATTTGTATACTTCAGTATTCAAAGTAATTATTTATAATTATTTATTGAATGATTAATGACAGTGAGACCTGACATGAAATCAGCTTTCTCCATCTGTCAAAAGATTAAGTTATGCTTTGAATAGTTTCAGCAATATATATATATCTGAAACTATTTATTTGAGTGCTTTTAAAATGGATTCTAGTAGGCACAACTTACTTGAGATCATCAATCTCAAGTCCAAATTCAGTTTTGTTACTTATACAAACATTCACTCTGCCTTACAATAAACAAGGCTAGAATGAACAGCTATGAAACAATACTCAGCCAACAGAGTGAGGAATATTTATTGCATTCAGAGGCTGCTGCAATGACTCCGGAGACCACACAAGCGTAATCCAGTTAATCATCCTGCCTCTGGCAGGACTTGAGCTTCAACACTTTTCCTGAGAGATGAAGATCTGTCTTATTTTTAAACATTTCCAGAAAAGGCGATTCCACAACCTCCTTTGAATGGCATTTTATACCACTTACTGTTCATTCCCAGGGCATTTTCCTTTCCTTTTCACCCAAGTCAATTCTCCTTACTTTAAATGACCAATAGAGGCAATTTTCCAATTTTTGTGTATTTTATTGTTTTCTTCTAGAGTCTCAATGAATTCCTCTTAGTAGTTGCTATATAAATGAAGTAACAATTTATCTCCTATTCATTTTCACACCTACCTAGAACTTATTATTTTAGTTTGCTATTCTGCTAGAGATTTACATTCACAGTGACGCCCCTTGAAATAAAATGAAATCCACTCCAAATCTTCAGGGTCTACCTCTCAATTAATAATCATTCCAAAATTCTGTTCCAACCTCCATTCCGAACAAACAATTAATAGTTTAAGGCTGTTTTTGCTCAAAGATAAAAATTTTTATTTTAAGTGTTTGTCCCCTAATATTCAGGCAAATGTTAAAACTGCAGAGGAGAAAGGGACTGACAGAAATGATAGATTCAACTGTTCTTTGCTTGTCGAATACCAGCCTATCCCTGAACTGAATTATGTCTAAGATTTCAAAGCCTTTGATCACAGGTGTTTTAGAATGCTCATCCCTCAAACCAGTCATGGTTATCATTTTACTAAACACTTAGCAGTAAGAAAGCTGAAGCCCAGAAATTGGAGGGCTTTCCCTAAAGCAAGTGAATAGAAAAATTGTTATAACTGTTTTAATGCATGCCGTAAGTGATCATCCCCTCTATAGACTCGGACAGCACGCTGCAGCTAGGCCATGTGTTGTTCAGTGTGGTCTCACCTCCACTCTAAAGGTGAAGCCATCAGGGGACTTCAGCTCCTGCACTTCATAGTGCCTGGGTCACTTCATAGTACCTTATACAGAGAAACTGCTGTATGTAGTATCTCTTAAAACAAAACAAAACACATAATACCAGGAAAAGGAGTTGGAATGCAGACGAGAATACAGAGTGGATGTGAGAACTGTTCTGAATAAAAACAGGTTCAAACTGCAAGATATATTTTTAGGTGTTTCATTACTTTTAGATGCATGTTCTGGGAAAACTTGGTTCCATCAATGGTTAAACACAGATTTGGTCATAAGATGAGCAGAGCACTGTGGTCCTCTCCCATACTATCATTCCATGTTTCATGTAGATGAACAAGTATGGCCACATCATGTATATAGTTGGCACAGAAATTAAAATAATTATTTGTTTGACTGTTGTTAGTTATGACTGTTACTAAAAGAGTTTCAAAGATATTTCAAATAATCTACTTATCATTTTGTCCAGTCATTTTCCTTGCAATCTTGTTAGCATTACAAACTATCCACAAAATATTATCTTTCTTCTCATGGGCAAAATTTAGTTAGAATTTAATCACAAAAGGTCTATAACAAAAGGAAACATGATTTTCTTAGGTTTTACAGAAGTTTTGGTTTTCCAATACAAAATCCATTGATATTTCAAACGAGATAACAAAACTATTTTCTTTAGATTCCTTGGAAACCGACCACCTTTAAAAAAATTACTTTTTTCAAAGTCAGCATATTAGAGAAATATGCTAAATAAGATTTCTAACTCATTTCATAGGAATTCCTAAATGCTTATTTCATCTATTCATTATGGAGTCACTGGTATCTTAACGAGTGTGGGAGATGGGGGACTTCTTAATGCATAGGGCTGAGTAAAAAAATAAATGGATTTTGGAGACTGAGTGTAAATCTCATGCTTCATCAATGCCAATCAACACTGTGAGAAATTTATTTGTAAAGACATCCATACCTTCCAAGTGCCTTCAACTAGAAAAAGAGCCAAAGTACAGATGTTCTCTAGTTGTTTTTAAAATCTGAAAGCCATTGTCTTCATTGTTTTCAATAAAATGTGACTCCACCTCCTCGGAATCCCACTCCTTCCCTCTTCATTTGCAACTTGTAAAATTCATAACAGCATCTAATTCCCTGCAGCTTGCAGTCCACATCTGCTCCACCTTCATCTCTCCCTTAAAAATGTTAGCTCTGCATCTTTGTGAACCACTGAACAGCTAGCGAAGTTACTACCAGTTGTTTTTAATAAGTCTGTTGAGTGATGTGTATTCTGAGGCAAAGGAGTTCCAGGACTTGGGAGCAGGATCCAGCATAGCCAAACCCCACCCTTAACTAAAAGTCCAATCTCTTGGCATTTCAGCTAAATTCCATTTGCAACTTTGAAAAAAAGGAAGAAAGAATCTTCTACATTCCTTGAAGAACCAGAGTTATCAACATGTTCTCAGAAATGTTTGGCTCAGTGATTAGAACGTTGGCCTGTGGACCATTGGCTTGTGTGTTTGACTCCTGGTCAGGGGCATGTACTTCAGTTGCAGGAGGCAATTGATGTGTCTCTCCTCCCCCTTCCCTTTTATTCTCACTAGAAATCAGTGGAAAAAGAATCCTCGGTAAGGATTTAAAAAAAAAAAAGTGATTTGCTAGTCATTTTCCTGAACCATAAAACCAAATGTAAAGGTACTTTCCTTGGCATTACCTCTGTATGTTTCCTTTCATTCTTTCTACTTGTATGCTTTCTCTACTACATTCTCAATTTAAAACGTGTAATCCAGAAAGCAATTAACAAATGCCTATTTGTCACTTTTCTGTTTTAGGTATCTTAGGAAACTCAAATATGTATTAGGCATTTTTTTTTTTTTTTTTGTCCTCTAGTTGTTTACAATCTAGTTGAAAGGACAAAACATAAACAATTATTTTTAAAAACAAAAAAGTACACTCTTTTCAAAATAAATTTAATATTGCTCATAATCCTTCTCCAGGCAGAAAGTGATAATTTTATCTATTTTCTAGATACTTTAATTTTATGCAAAGAAATATTTCTAAACATAAACATTAGATTTTTTGCAAA